TGTTAAGGAGGCTTTATAAAGGACACAAAACAAAGACCTCCTTCGCTAAGACGGCTCGAGCTCTGCCATTCTCCTTCTCCTTTCCAGAATTTCCCCTTTCCCCAGAGCATGCTGGCACTCTTCTACACCGCCAAAAAAACACAACAAAAAAAAACTGCCATTATTCTGGTAGCCGCCATCACTCTTTCAAGCTCCCGATGAAATATTCATAGAACAATATGCTGCTAAAGATTTCCGGAGCATCTCCGACAGCTGTAAGCAGCGTCACAGACCGGCTCGTCTCAAGCAAAACAATCATCCTCTTGATCAAGCTAGCCAACTTGCTAAGTAGTGTGGTTCATTCAGCGCTGTGGGGAACAGGCTGCCTATCTCCTCTCAGGGCTTAATCACTCTTCCTGTTTGATCATTACAAGGAAAAAAAGAAAAAGAATAGGTTTGATCACCGATGTAATTTAATGGCGTGACTTTTCCACAAGCATGGAACGGGAGTTGGGGAAAGTGAAGTCTTGTTGTAAATAGCTAATCATGCCTTCCGGCTCTGGAATTTCAAGAGAAACAAAAGCAACCTTTGAAAGATGTAAATTTGTGAGGCTCTTGTTCACAGAGACACAAGCAGGCATGCAGCACAAACGCAGTGGTACCCTGCCCAACACGGTAAGGGACCCTAGTTCAGGTTAGTCTCCAGGTAAATCACAACATGCTGGACAGACATGTAGGGGTGACGTTGGATTTTTTTAAAGGTGGGGGGGGATTATAAGAGGGGCCAAAATTCATACAGAGGAGCCAACCTTATCATTAGCCAATGATATGTTTTGAATCGGTGAGTGACAGGGGAGGAGGCACTTTTGGGGCCAATCAGCTTTCAGATGAGGCTGGTGTCTCTGTGGCCCCGCCCCTGTATACACCCCTGCAAGCCACAGAATGATCTTCATGGAGGAGGGGGCCGCAATTATGAGCAACCCAGATCATTAGTAACAACAATGCTATGACCGCCTGACACCGCGATGCCATTTCTTCAAAAGAAACTGGAAATACCCCCAAAAACGCCCCTCAAGGTTATATATAATGAAATGTCCACTGCAGAAAATTCAGAAACGGACCAAAACAAAGGCGCCAGCCGCCCAGACGAGCTCAAAAACGCTCCTGCACCACAGAGACACAATAAACTGAGTTAAAATAATCCTGCCTGTGTGCAAAAATATGTAAAATAAAAAAGAGCAGCCGGTTCATTTCCCCCTCAATTAAAATGCTCCGCTACCGCATTCCCGCACACTTCATTGATCCCATTGGTGAGCTTGACGTCACCACAGGCACCTGTCGACACCACAGACAACAAAGTTTGTTGACAGAGGCGGTGGAGAGGGGAGATAAAAGGGCGAAGGAGCTACTAGGAGCACAAAGTTGCCTCCAGACTGCAGGAGAGCCCTTCACGGTCTCCACGCAGCGACACCCCACAGCTCAGTAGACCAGCTAGGAGAGGCTCCCTCTCCGGCACCTGACAGGAATGTACTGGAGGCTAACGGAGATGCACTTTCAAGCAACAAGCCCCAAACGACCCCTGAAATCTGAAGTGCCGGCACAGAAATTTAATTAAAACGTGAAGTTTTTTTTACCTCAAACTGCTGCAGGCTGCATGTGGCCATCAGATGTGAATGACAACTATACCCAGAAGTCTTCTCTCAAACTGAAAGGAAAATATCTGAGAGCCGAAGCTTTACGCACAGCCTACAATGCGCATGAAAATTTGTTTATATATTAAAAGAAAAACAGACTTTGCATGTTGGTGTTGAGGCAATCATGAGACCAGAGTCAATGGAACAGCCTATCAACATCCAAGCCAGCAGAAACGGCAATCCACTACCTTACAGGTGTCAGCGACGGTCAAGCGCTAGGCCGTTGGCGTCTTCCATTTGAACCTCTCCTGACTTCAGAATATGAGAGAATCCCACGTGCCGATCCAGCTTCCTCTTTTAAGCTAAAAGCCAGCCCTTTGAATTCCAAGTTGTTCAAGGAACCTGAAGTTCAGCCCCCAGGATTAATGCGAAATCTAATTAGTGGCACGAGTTTCCTTCGCCTCACGGAGAATTTCCCTGCCGTGCCTCAATGCCTGGTTTAATATGGGGACTGCGTTTAAGCTGTAAGATTTTACTCTGTTCTAACAGGCGCTCCCATCTGAGCTGTAACTCTTTTAAGGATTCTAGCCCATCAAGTCCAAGGTTTCTTTTCAATACAATGCATTGTGGGTAGCTACGATTATAATTATATGTACTTAATGTAACAGAAAGGTGATCATAAGATTATTATAAAAATAAGAAATCCAGTGTCTATGTGGGTCAATTTATTTTAATTAAGAAAGATGGGATATGGAATAACAGCTGTCTTATTATGACATAACCATGAATTAATTTAGTCAGTGTGCAAGAGAGAGAAAAAACTGCAATATGAGCTGATAGAATTATCAGATGTTCTCCTAAAAAAATGCATAATGATAACAATGTAGTAAAATTAAGTACAGTCTTCACTTACCACTGACTCCTGCTTGTATATCATCATGAGCAGTAAAAGCAGTAGGCAAACTGACTACCCTGAACATACAGTATGTACCTCTAATTAGGAAAAATGTTACCAATATAGCTGTTATACTTTAGATCTCAAGTTTGCTAGGCCAGTTTGTTACCCTAAGTGTAGGATCTGAAAAACCAAATGACTTGATATTGCTCATTTGATATAATTTTTTAGTGTTACACACTAGCTAGGCCTCATTATTCAGAGGGATGCCATTTCAACTGTGTTACTGTGAGAAATGGTGCAAACCTCTCCTTTCCTCGGATACAAGCGAGTGAAGAGCAGTTCTGGGAAAAGCATAAATCAACTGGCTTCCTGGGGATGAACGGAAAGTGAGAATTGTTCCCTGTACCACTGCATGAAGAGCTATGATCAGATACTCAGCTGGAAGAAGAACGCTGAGGTGGAGATCATGGCCTGTAAGGACTTCAAGGTAATATCATCAGAATTTACTAGAAGCTATTCTATAAACATAAAGCTTCTGTATTGGGGTCACTGGCAGCTGTTTTTGTGCTAAGGTTGAATCTTCTCAGTCAAGACTGTAACTGATGCTTTTAGGATCTAACTGTGATAAAGTATACAAAGTGTAAAAGGTCACCATATTGAGATATACCTACACATTTTGATTTTAAAAAATAACAAAAAATACCCAGTGACATATTAAGATAATTTTACTTGCATATCTAATTAGTCTATTGTTCTACTTTGCTTTACGAAAATTAAACACATCCAAGAAAAATGAAAGAATGCATCATAATGATCTCCTGAAAATAGAGCTGGGCGATATGGCAAAAAAAATTATCACGATATTTTTTCCTGTACTGACCGATATTGATAAGTATTAATATTATAGTTTCATAATGCTGTTCCATGTAATAATGTAATAATCAAAATAATAATAAAAATAACCCTATTCTCACAAATAGAATGAATACATTAAAATAAACAATATTAGTAAACAAATACTTATTTTCCAACAAATTTTACTGTTTCCATACAAAATTCCCTTAAAATTATAAAAGGTTATTGATTTTCAAGTATTCAAAGAAACATAGCTCAAATTAACAAAACCATATGATAATGTAACAACGTGCAAAACTGTATAATATTGCAAATATGTTAAAGGGCAAACATAAAATAAAGCATGACAGAACGGACTGCAACAAGTACCTTCCTCTATTCTTGGTCTCTTAAAAACTTTTTTAAAATTCTGAGGTAGAAAAGTATCTAAACCAAACAAAAAACACTTACTCAAAAAAATGCCAAATCATGGTTAGATTTTTTTGTCCGGCGCTGCAAAGCGTCACCACGCGTCACCACGCGTCACCATGTCACATGGTACAAAATCCTCGCAAGAGCAAGATGACTTGAGACAGACCGTGCAGCACAAACTGGAACCACCTCCGTGACGACACAACTTTGCCCTTATTGGCTGAAGATTTTAGTCATACGCATGACGTTTGTATCCCAGGCAGTTCCCATGCGTAATCTGCTATTTCTCCCGAAAAGCACGTAAAGCAGTGAGAACTGGTTTTCGGTTCATTTACCTGGTAAAATAAAGTTTAAATAAATTACATAAATGCTGTAACAGTACACGTAAGTTAGTGGTTTATTTATTGTTAGTTACTGTAATGTTGCGATGCTTTATTTGTTTAATCGTCCAGTCTGTGAAGAAGGCATTCAAGTAAGAATTGCATTGTACTCTGTACATGACAATAAAAACTTTGAATCCTTGAAATACATGCATTTGATTTTTTTCCTGGCAGCTATCTTTTTACACAGAGCCACTATACACAATAGTTTTATTCACTGCTAACAGTGTGTATCAGGAGTTGGTTATTGTAAAAGACGTAATGTGCATGCAGGTGATATTTGTATAGATTTATCTACACCCTTCTGGCAGTGCTGCCATTGCAGTCAGGTCTCACAGACTACGAGGAGTAGAAGTTGTCCGACTTGGCTGCAGTCAGTTCATACTCCACCCCTGCAGCCGCAGCCAGATCGCGCTCCAGGAGCGCACCCATTGCTTCTTTACAGGAGGATGGGCAAAATTACAACGTCGTCGGTGATTGGCTGTTGTGCTGGCGTTCAGTAAACCTCTGCTCGATAGGCCATCGAGCAGAGGTTTTAGAGAATGTCTCAATGCATTCTCTAAAACGGAGCAAACTTGGTTGATCGAGTTTTATAGTCTGTGTGTATCATGTTGATCTACCTATGTGTGAAGAACATTGCTACATTTTGCCACAGCAGATGGGGAAAACAGGAAAGAAACGATTCAAAAGAGAAAACAGGAAGTGACATCATTTGTCCATTAGAATATCGCTACAATGCTCTGGGAGGTCATTTCCGGTCAACCACAGTGCCTTATCTGACCAGTATTGAAACGCTTGTGCGAATACAAGTCCAACTTTAGCTAAAAATCTATTTTTACTTACTTGCTATACTCAGGTAAATGGATGGACTTGTTTTGTTTTCGCCACTTCTTTCGTTTACTGCCTGGACGTAGTATCTTCCAGCATCAGGCGCAGATGTGGAGAGGACTACGAGTTGATTGTCCAGAGTTATTGCTCTGCAAGAAAGAGGCACCAAGGAAGAAATTAAGGTTAGTCTGAGAACAGTTCCTGCTCAGCCTGAACACAAAGCCATACCGAACGCAAAAGCAGTACCAACACAAACTAAATTCATGACTTCTAACATAAAGCATTTGTAAAAACTCAGTTCACTTGCAGTTTGCTTATTATTGTTATTATATATATGTACTTCACTGAAGCACCCATGGTTTGTCTCTGAAGCCAAAGCTTGCTTAGCTCTGAAATAAACTTGGGAAAAGAAATAAAAAATAATAGGTACAGACAGAAAATGAAGAAATGGAATGCAAATAGCCCAGCGTTCACGTCCAAGGGCCCTTTTTCCACACAAACAAGCCCCGTGTGTTTTCTGTGTCCCTGGGCGTGGTCCTCAACGGGTAACTAACACCTCAAATGTAAAAGGTGGGACACAGCTCAGAATACATAAAAAGTTAAATGAGTCATTTTCTATAGATGTACCAAGGAGACCCTCTACTGAATCCTCTGCTGTTCCCCACAAGAAATTTCACAGAGACTGCTGTTAGACCTCAATGAATCACACCTTCCAACATGTTACTTAAATAGCCCCTGTCAATGACTTCACTAAGCGCGACCTTAGCAGCCTTAGGCGCGGCACACAAACACGGACCAAACCACATGGCGATGTGCTTCTGTATCACTGACAGGAAACATCCAGCAATGAGCTGCTCTCCATAAAAATCCCCTATTGGACAGAAGCCCCATTGAACAGAACTGTAAACTAGCTCCAAAATCCTCACTGATTCCATTGACAGATTTAAAATATAAACCTAGTCTTGAATTTCTCTTAGCTACGGTCCGTATAACCAAATCCTGGATTTAGTATATTTTCAATTACCATTTTACTTCATATTAGAAAAAGGTGGCTCTATGCTATCCCTTCAGAATTAAAGAATGCTTTGTAGATCCTCCAAAAATTAAAGGTCTTAATAGTTACTGCAATCCATATTATATGCAAACAAAATCTCCTTTGTATTATGTGAGCTTCAAGCCAGCTAACCGCTAACTGTTTTCCTGTTCTCCACGATTAAATGAGGATTAAGGGAAAATCTATTAAAAGAAAAAGCAATTGAAGCAGAATCCGGTGCGGAGGCTTAGGTAATGACGACGATGATGTATTACTTTTCTGACTGCACTAGGAAATCTGGCTGAGTGTCTCATCTCGAAACAAGGAGTCCAGAATGTAAAAGCAGCCCATGTAGACACCAAAAACAGCTTGAAAAGGTCAAACAAGCCAGCTCTGATTAACTTTTAATTAACGACCGACGGGACAAACAAAAAAGGCGGCTGGAGACATGGTGAAGGAATAATCAGCGTTGTATTTCAATAATAATCATGTCACGCGGAATCAGGTGACACATAACTGCTTAACATCTACTAGCGTTACATTCTGAGTGGCGGTATTTAGTCTGCTGACTGCAGGTAGCCTATCGCGGCTCCATCGCAGAAATCCCAACTACGCAGATCCCGACGTAATGATTAGTTGGCTTAATAATGAATTAATCTAATGAATGGCTCCTGCCAAGCTCCAATAAATGCGGGGAGCACTGAGGGATAATGGGCCCCCTTGTCTCGCAGCCTGAGGAGCGCGCAGCCCTTTGATATGAGTCCAGTCATAATTGCGCACGCCGCTGGAGAGGTACATGCAATCCAATTTTAGTTTCAAAATGTGCCCGGGGTGACGTCAATCTGCAAATAGAAGGCTACTCCTCTATATCAAAAGCCTTGTCTGTAAGACAGCAACCTTCCCCCTCAAACTGATTATTTCAATTACACAATTCCTATGATTTTCATTATGACACAGGGATCAAAATTGTAGAATGCCTCAAACTCTGTGAAATATAAATGGATTGGGGTTTTTTTTCCCCTGATGTCTGGCTGGAGCCCTCTCACGACCACTATTGCACTGGATTGCATATCAAATGTGCGCTAAGCGAATGCACCCAAAATGCACCCAAAATGCACTCAAAATAAATCAAGGTTTCTAAGAGGCGGCAAGTCTCGACCAAGTCGGCGACGATGTATCATATGATTTCAGCTTTGAATGTTAATATGAGTTAATGTTCTAGCTTCAGTGTGAAGAGACAGAAAGAAAACAGTTTTTAGACACATGCAATACACATAGTAAAATACTGGTGGCCCGAGCGTTCCAGTTAATAAAGTCCATACAATACGCTGTGTCTGTCTTTAGGGGTGTCTGTCAGGTACCTGCACAAGTTCTCCTTCACATTATATCCAGCTTACACACCTGCAATAACAAAGTCACTGGCTCTCTATTCATAACATGGTTTGTTTGTTTGTCTTGGGCTCGGATGTTTAGTTCCATCTCTCCCCAACAAAGTCGACGTTGTTCACAGACTGCATCACATACGACACCATCTGGCAGAGACGCCTACGTTCACTAAACTGGTGGATTTTATAGTACCCTGACTGCTATTTAGCAATCTGCAGTGTTGGTCCCTATTGCTATTAATGCTGTAAAAGCCCATTTCAAAAATAAAAATTAAAGCGTTTTGCTTGGGACCGGGCATGTTACTGAGAGCACAATAACAGATTGTAGTAAATCTTGGAAAAAAAGAGAAACAATTAGGCTTATATTCCTAAGTATTGCTTGTGCCTGAGCCCAGAATATAAGCTCACTTGTTTTCATTTGCTGTCCCAAATCAATTCCGCTCAACAGGACCGGATTTTAGACAAAGTAATTAAAACGTCAGCAGTTTATATTGACTGTTCCTCTTACGTCTCAGTGTCACGATATGTGATTCTTTCCTTATACACTATGATTTATGATGATAATTAGGGTATCAGGAGAGTCTCAGAAAACCCAGTGAAACAGAAGTAGGAAACAGTTCCAGAACTTGCAGAAAAGTAAAAGCACGTTATGAAAGTCGCTCTTAATGTTTTTATTATATATCGGCATATCCTTGTATTTTCATTCCACCCTAGCATCGAACACACCAGTGAATTAATATGATTGGTGGTGCGCAAGTGCTTTCAGAAATGTCTCAGACTCCGAACAAATGGAAATGTAATTGCAATGAACGACCAACTGGGAGCAATACAAATGCTTTGTTTTCTTGTTCCATCTTTTTTCCCCCATTTCCATTCTTTTTCTTTTACCAAAACGTCTAAAGGACCACTCTGTACGCTACTAAGGAAACACCATTTTCTGTGTGGGCTCAAAGATCCATTCCCCATCAGTCGGAGCTTTTTATCGACGTTAACCTTATCTAGCAAACTGCTGCCTTTGCCAAATCTGATGGCATTTTAAATGGCATAGAGAGGATATTAACCACAGACAGCACCTACAAGCTTATTAGCAGTCAGCTAACTACATTTATGGGCCATTAAGAGGCTCTTGCAATGGAAGGATATTGCAGCATCTTCTCTGAAAGGTTCTGTACTAATTAAATAGTCGTTAATCATGTATGTGCTGAGAGGTATGTAAGTAACCAGCTAGTACTTTGTGTGACTCTTAAATTAATATGCATATTAATAATTGCCCTCTGATGGACTGGCATCCCATCCATGGTGTACCCAGCCTTGTGCCCTGCGATGGACTGGCATCCCATCCATGGTGTACCCAGCCTCGTGCCCTGCGATGGACTGGCATCCCATCCATGGTGTACCCAGCCTCGTGCCCTGCGATGGACTGGCATCCCATCCATGGTGTACCCAGCCTTGTGCCCTGCGATGGACTGGCATGCCATCCATGGTGTACCCAGCCTTGTGCCCTGCGATGGAATGGCATCCCATTCATGGTGTACCCAGCCTCGTGCCCTGCGATGGACTGGCATGCCATCCATGGTGTACCCAGCCTCGTGCCCTGCGATGGATTGGCATCCCATCCATGGTGTACCCAGCCTCGTGCCCTGCGATGGACTGGCATCCCATCCATGGTGTACCCAGCCTCGTGCCCTGCGATGGATTGGCATCCCATCCATGGTGTACCCAGCCTTGTGCCCTGCGATGGACTGGCATCCCATCCATGGTGTACCCAGCCTCGTGCCCTGCGATGGACTGGCATCCCATCCATGGTGTACCCAGCCTCGTGCCCTGCGATGGACTGGCATCCCATCCATGGTGTACCCA